TTTAATTAAGAGGCCACGAGTTGTTACATCATGAAAGAATTGTTGACCCATGTTGCTCGATGAACCATTAATGTTGCTAGTACCATTTCCAAACAAATGCCCATAGTCTAACATTGTCGTTTCATTACTAATACTAAAAACTTCTTGTCCACCATCAGGAGGTTGCAATAGCTCAAATGCAATTCCAATGGGATAATCAGTAGTATGAATATGGGATGAATGACTTATGTCTCCAACAGATGTAGCGTCATGGCCTTTGGAATTCTCATAAAGAGGCATCTCCATAATATCAACCAGACCAGATGATGATTGTGGGAGCTTGAAATTTTTAAGAGGAGCTTGCAGTCCCATTTGATGATCATTATTGCTAACAGAATTGCCTATATTATTGGAATTTCTACCATATGTAATTTGGTGCGGTAATGTCTTTATGTCGTTGGTTGTTGGATTATCTCCAATACTACCAAAACCTCCATCAATGTTATTATTATTGTTCATAATATCAAACAACCATGGTTCTACCGTGAAAGCACCTTGATCTTGATTATCAATAATATCCCTCACCTGGTTGTTCCCTTCATTTCCTCCAACTTCATGGGTTTGATCATATATGACTTGAGCATGAGGAGTTGGATAAAGAGGATCTAACCCAACTGGGATAGTCATATGATTAAGAAATGCAAGCCTTTTGTTGACACTCTTCACCTTCTCCTCAATTAACCATGCTAAACCATAGAGTTCACCCAGGTTTAGTTCATCAAAGTTGTTTCCTTCATGAACCTTACAAATTAGATTAACCATCTCTTTCTCTTGATTTTTCCTCTGGTTCTTCTTTAGTTGTTCTTCAGTTTTTCTCGATCTTTCTCTCAAGTACGATTCTTGGTTCATCGTCCTTTTGTTTCGATCCATCTCTGGCATTCTACGGAATCTATTTAGCATTTGCACTGCCATCTCCACCGACGGCCAGACTCTTGGCTCTTTCTCTTCAGGGCTATAGATCACAATACAAGCACTCACATTACATAGTGTACAAAGCTCACCCACCTTTTTCACCACTCCAACCCGCCTTTTTTTTAGGCTAGCTCTTCTAGCGTTATCATTTTCTATCAACGCGAGCTTCACTTTTTTTCTAGTCATGCTTAATGGTTGTCGTTATATACTATCGTATTGTGTTTGGGCAAATAAGGATTTATATAGTGAAAGTTGTTATTACAGTGTTAACAGAGTTATGAGTTGAAAAAATTGATACTTTAAACATAAATCCCTGTGACAAACTTATAAGAAATCTAATAAAAGATTGATATGATTTCATAGACGATAAGAGAAAATTCAATTGCATTGTTTCTTACAGTAAAATCGTAGTAATTTTGAATTTCCAAATATGCCCAAAGCATTAATAACGGACTATTTTTGGTTTTTCAATGTTTGAATTTATGTTTAACAAATTTTAATTTTTTTTCTTTTTATTCACACTTCTGGTCAAAATTCATGTAGGAGATTTAATGATTTTAAAAATGCATTTACCTACTTCAATCTGATATATTTAGAATTTATCTCATAAATGTCACCTATAAAATCAAATTTAGGTAGTCAAAGTAGAGAAAATATTTTGTCAACAACTAAATTAATTTTATCAATATCCATTTTTTTTTAATTTCCAATTATAAAATATAATATTATAACTTATCTTAAGATAAAAAAATATGTGTAAATCAGCACATATATACATATAGGTATTAGAGGAATAAGACGACTAAAAACTCACAATTAACGAGTAACAAGATATGCGACATAGATACAAAAGATTAAAAATTCGAAATAGATACGAGACACGTATGAATTTGATGGTGTACACCCACCCCCTCCTTGCCCACCTTCGCCCCACCCCGCCTATGTATATAATTATTAAACTTAAGTTATTAATTCCCATTTTTTTTAATGAAAAGTTGCCAATACTAAAATAAATTAATATAATAGTGTATAATAGTTTAATATATATGAT